TCTTCCTGTGCGCTCTAATGATCTTTCTGGTGATTTTCTTTTTATAAGACCACGCTGGACCAAGCTCTACAGTCACAGGGTTTGTGTAGACTCTACACAAACCCTGTGACTGTAGGTCAGCTAATGTACAGCAAAGGGAATAGAACGTGACTTTCAAAAATAACAATCATTTAGTCAGAGTAAAAAAATGAATAAAGGCAGTGGTGTAACATTATCTATTGGCATCACTACAAGAGGACGACGTTATCGTGTTTACAGATGAAGATTCAGTCTCAATGAAAGTCATATTGTGATGTTTATTGTTTGCTGAAGTTTGTTTAAAATGTCCATTCTCCATGTGGACTAAAATGTGTCTGTTTTTGTCTTACTAAATTGTCTGGAGTTTGATTCGATTTAAGATTTAGAAAGGTTGGGGTTGACTAAACTATCGCTGACTGAATCTAAAAATGGCTGAGGAATTGAACACTACTTGTGAGCTGTTCCTCATAAAGGTTTGTCCACTCATCACTGATTTACCATTTACATGACAAAAGTATTAATACTCTCCTTGGCTATGGCCTTGCTTGCAGTTACATATTATTATGAATGTTAGCCTGTATGTATGTAAACTGCTATAATGGAGGAATAACTCTAAAAATTAACTTAAGCATTTATGCAATTGTTGAATAAAGTGCTCTTACTTACTGTTACATTAGCAAGCTAAGTATGAGCTAATAAATGTACTGTGTAATACTACCACTATATTGTAGGTTGACTTATACACTTTTGGGAAGTTTATTTTATTGCAAAATAACACAATTCTATTGGATTATTATATATTTAGTTTGTAGCTAGCTAAAAACGTAAACAATATACAAAGATACCTGAAAATTCACAGTGATTATTGCCCATGAGAGTGGAGAATATACATTGAGATGTAACAATTCAGAGATTATTGCACCTAAAGATTGAATATAAATATTGCACATGAAATAGATAGATATATATGAAGAAGGAAGATACAGAAAATGAGAGGAATGATTATTACACTGTACACTGTACACAAATGTACAATGAAATTAATTGTTTTGTATGTGGTGTGTTTTACATTAACTGTGTACTTGCCCAAGGACTGCAGATACAATTTAAACAAGAAAAAATACACATAAATATATATACTGGAGAATGAGTAGCATAAAACTGGAATACTCAGGTAAAGTACAGTAATCCCTTCGAGTAAACACTGACTCTTATTTCAAACCATTGGCTATTTCTGGCTCATCTTTTTAAATACTTGCCATCATTGAGTCCATCCTTACCTCATCCATCACTGTATGGTACGCTGCTGCTACAGCCAAGGACCAGGCCAGACTGCAGCGCATCATTCACTCCAGCGTGAAGGTGATCGGCTGCAACCTGCCCTCTCTCGACCTGCACGTCTCCAGGACTCTGACACGTGCAGGTAAGATTGTGGCCATCAGGACCAAAACCTCACGCCACAAAAACAGTTTCTTCCCAACTACTGCTGCCCTCATCAATAAGGCCTGGGACCCTTTAATCAAACTGCACTGATGTCCCTACCGGTGACTTTGACACTTTTTCATTTTATAAATAACAATAACTTTATATATTGCAAAATCCCTCCCGCTTATAGTATATTTTTTTATTGGCCTATAGCATTTTCTCTTTTATTTTTCTATTTAAATTTTGTTTACTATTTTATTTTAATTTTTATATTTTCTATATTTATATTGCACAAACACACCACAGCAAATTCCATGTATGCGTAAACCTACTTGGCAATAATTATAATAATAATTATAAGATTCTGCTTTGTTTTGACAGCTACGCAGGATGTTTCTTTCTTTATTCTAGTGTGCTTGACGTTGCTCACCCACAGCACTGAGGTCTCCCCTGCAGGTCACTTCCACATCCAACCTCCAGCTCTGCATGACCCGGGGTGTCCTCTAACTTTCCCCGGGAGTCAAAACAAAAGTCTTTCTATGACCCGATCATACACCTGCTCCACATGAGGGAGAGGTCACACAGAGGAGATAGTTTTTCTCTAATTAAGAAAAACTGACTCTGTAGTATAAGATATTAATAGTATCAGTTGCTCTGTAACTTAGTAAAATCTATATTTATATTTGCACTGTGTAAGTGAAAGGTCATCCATGCACAGTCACTCGATAGCAGTGTCTGGGAAGTAGTGTTGGGGATGTTTCCTCCCCTCACTGCTCCATCACGTCACACTGTAGTATTTCTCTTGGGCGGTGAGAGATGAGTCATGTTACTGTTGAAAACAATGACGTAGCAGTGATCGTCCAATCACTAAACGCCAATGTGGATGGCAGCCAATCATATAGGGACCATGGGCTGCCCTTAAAGTATTGGGAGCCTATCCGTTTGTAGAATGGGCGGGACTTCCCCATGGCATATAAGAACCTCTGTGAATCAATGTTCTTAAACACGATACAGTGACACAGCAGAATGTACCCTTGTTGTTTGTTCTAACAGCTTCACCTGACTGAACCATGCAAAACCAATACAACAATCACTGAAGTGAAAACTTTTGTATTTAGTTAGTTAGTAGTTAGTGTAAAATCTAGTAATCAGGTATAAATACATATAAATGACGGCAAACTGAAAGTCCTGCATTCTAAACTCTGTGCAACCTGCTTCTGGATAGTAATTATTAATAAGTGACTATCCAAGCAGCATTTAAGAAGGCTGTTTGAGATGGAGCTATTTTTAGAAACTATTACACAACCTGTAGGACACTTAAATGATTATCTCACTCTCTCCTCTTCATTTGTTGTACTGGTTAGACCTTTTCTCGTGGAGTTATTTCACAGCAGCCATTTTGACATGATAGTGGATAAGTCACATTATTTAAGACCTATTATGACAACAGCCATTGTTCGTACATTAGTTGAATAACGCCTGTGACCTGCTATACTCTGTCAAAATGACATGTGAAAAAGGTTTACTGTCACAATGCAGCAGAAAACTGTACTTGGGGAATGGTGTCACTGTCACTCACACTAGGACTGAACTTATATGTAAGTTAAATAATAATGATAAATAAAGTGTGGAGAAGGTACTCAAACATTTTACTGAAGTAAAGGTACAAATGAATAGAAACATATGTACTTAAGTAAAAGTATCATTTTAACTTTTCTAATTGAATGGAAGTAAGTAGGTTCTTTATTTTATATATTCTTCAAGTATTAAAAGTTAAATAACCTGTGTGTGTGTGTGTTTGTAAGTGTGTCTGATATTACCTGAGTAGACATCAAAATATTTTCAACCATAAAATGAAACAATCTAATCATTTATTTTCAGACTAAGATCCATATTTTGTATCTAAGGAATCATGAAATACCTTTCACTAAAAAGCACAATAATTATAATTAAACAAAAAAAGAGCCAGACAATAAAACATGAAATATAGATATATATGAATATATGGTGGTATGTTGCATGGTAACAAGCCCTCTTCTCTGTAGGACGTTGTGAGGTACACACTGTGAGTCAGTGCGTGAGCTGTTGTACTGTCAGTGGGACTTGCAGCTGCACAGGGCACAGTGCCATTGGGTGGAGCTGGCCAGAGAGGAAACAGCTCCACACTTTGTGTTCACCAGGCTGATCGCCGATCTCCTCGACCCTGTGAACTGTGCTGGCCTTCATGCACCACTTCCTAACAATGTCTCAGTGATTAAGCCACATGCAGGAAAATAAAGGTTCACTGACATTAAATTCAAGCTTGCAGCATTATGTTATCATCTGTTATGTTTCCTGCCCCTGAACATGTTTGAAACTTCCTGACTCCAACTGGTCATATTTTTCTTATTATGCTTTGTGAGCATATTTGAAGGTAAAAATAAAAGAATCCCACAGCCAAGCACAGAAATCTCAGCAATTTGCAACACCTTGAAACTATTGTGTACATTGTATATGTCTGGTGATTTTCTGAGTTGGTCAAGTAAACAGAGTTATGATTTTGGTTAAATTGCTCATCTCAGTTTTTGACTTGAGGAAGTGAGGAAAGGCAAACTCTGCTACTTGAAACTCTTTAATGCAGATATTCCATCTGGTATCGCATCAGACTTTGTGAAGTTAAAAGAGGCAAACCATTTTATTTTGAATTCAAGGCCTTGTGAATTAGTTCTCGAGGCTCATGACCTGCCCTGGTTGAGGCATGTTTCTCGCCTGGGATTTGCTACCTCCCAAGGATAAGTGGTCGTGCTAATGGCTGGATGTTGATATGGTTCAGTGCTTCAGACATTCTCCTGTGGTCTGTATCAAGTCACATGAAGGGTTTTAATTGGTGATGAGCTTCTACTTCCTGTGTAACATGTGACATATAGAGTGAACAGCAAAGTAACGTTTGTGGTTTAAAGGTGGTGTTTTTTAGTTCTTTTTTGACATCCTGCATTGAATGTGAAGACGGATGTGGCTGTGGACTTGTCATTTAGCGTAGCATGATTCTTACTGTCACAGGGTTTGATTGTCATGCTTTTAGAATTTGAATGAACAAATATGTTTGTAAAAAACATCTACTGTGATCCATGTGTTAATGTGACTCAGGAGGAGGATATCAGGGGACATTCAGGCTTGAGACATGATGTAAATGATTCCATTCCGAGTTTAATTTGAATGCAGACACTTGGATGACACACCACAAGTTTTAATAATCGGTCATCATTTACTTGAGAATTGTGTTGGATTTGGCTGCAACACTGTTTACCCCTGAAACTCCAAAAGTGTTTTGATGACTCCAACACTTCACCCACCCCTCCATCGGCACAGTGGTGCGTAGATAATGAGTGTATTTCCCTTTAAAATGCTTTTATCCGTGTTGAGTGTGCAAGCCTGTACAATAAACAGCAACGGGGTGAGAACGTTTCTTTGATACACTTTTAAGAACCACCCAAAAAGAAAAACTTGGACTTTATTTTGAAATTCCGTCATATAGCGACCGTGCTGCCGGTCGGCCTTTTACGACTCTGACGTAACTCTCCCGTCTCGTGACCGGCACACCGCAGAGCCAATCAGGACTCACCATCTGTAAACATGGCGCCCCGCTTCAGGTGGAGATGTGTGCTGCTGCTGCTCTGCGCCGGTCTGCTGTGTGTTTTAGCGGCTGACAGCAAAGAGAAGGCCCAGAAGAAGAAGAAGGACATCCGCGACTACAACGACGCAGACATGGCGCGGCTGCTGGAACAGTGGGAGGTTTGCCAGCTTCTCTTTCAGGCAGCCCGCACACACCATAGCTGCTTAGCCGAGCTGTTAGCTAACCATGCTATGTCCTGCTAGCAACAGGGTTTGTCTCCAGCAGCAGTCCATCTGTCGTGTTGCTTCCCTGAGTTGACTGCGGGGGAAGAAGCGTCTCTCGTTGCGTTATTGATGCGTTAGTTGAAGATGAAACCGTCTTACTCCCCGAAATGTGAACACAAGCAGAAAGAACAGAATTATGAAGAGTTATGATCATCGTAGTGGCTCGAGAGTGAGAGTGTACTGGCAGATGTTAAACACCTGCACCCAGTATGAACAACCCATGCTTTCGATCACGGCTTTATTAATGATCGACCATCACATGTTCCACCGGAACACTTCTGCTACCCGGGTGAATCACAGCAGGACCTGACGTGTGATGTGGATCAGAACTTGTGATGCTGAAACATGAAAAGTTTTGGATTCAAAAGTGTGGTTAACTGTTGTGTAGGGCCTTTAACTAAATAACTGTAAACTGTGAGAAGGTAATGATAATAATTAGATACATCATGTATCAAGCACAAAGTATATTATTTACCTTAAGTAAAAGTATGACATAGAATCAGGGTTATTGTAGTTAACTAAGACTAAAACTAGCAATGAAAAAAGAATTAAGTTCACTGAAAAAAACGACAATTACAAAAAAAACGAAAACTAAATAAAAACTGCAATGAACAATGCAAAACTAACTAAAACTAAACTGAAATGCAGATAGATTCCGCTTTGTTTCATTTTCTCCCTGGATTCCTGCCTGTCCTGCAGGTGATGGTTAAAGAAGGAAATTAAAGGACTTGATAAACCATAATTGGTGTCACACATTGTTTCATCCTTTTTCAGCTTCTACAAGTCAAATTTCTCTTAATACCTGAAAAAACTAAAACTAATTAAAAACTAAAGTGAAACTAGTCGTTTCCTCAAAATAAAAACTAAACTAAAACTACAAAATCACTTGTTGAACTAACTAAAACTAAACTGAAATAAAAAAGCAAACTGAAAAACTAAATAAAAACAAATGAAAATTTCAAAACTATAATAACCTTGCATAGAATAAAATGTAGTTTGTTCAAATACATGAAGCTGTGAATGTACTTCACATTCTGCCACTGCCTGTGTTTTTACAAAGTTGAGCGGTTTATAACGAGGTAGGACATTTGTTGAGTGATGGCCCTCAGCAGAGTACATACCTCCACCAAGAGCCATGAAGTATTCATGGCAGGTATTTAGAATGCACCCTCAGTCATATGTAGAGCAAGACAGTGGTACTTTTATTTATACCCAGTATATCTGTTATTCCACAGGAGGATGATGACATCGAGGAAGGTGACCTCCCAGAACACAAGAGGTCTCCTCCCCCCGTCGACTTCTCCAAGGTGGACCCCTCCAAGCCAGAGCAGCTGCTCAAGATGTCCAAGAAGGGCAGGACCCTGATGGTGTTTGCCACAGTGTCGGGGGATCCCACTGAGAAAGAGACGGAGGAGATCACAGGCCTGTGGCAGGGCAGCCTCTTCAACGCCAACTTTGATATTCAGAGGTAGTTACTCACTGAGACCATTCTACAACAAGAACTTTGTGTAGCTGCTTTTCAAAAGGGTAGATTAATTTCTTATTAACTTGGAAGGAAAGATTATCGAAGTGGACTCACCAATTAATGAACTAATAGTGCTTTCACCCATTAGAAGTTGAATTGGTTGTTTGGTGTGAGGAAAGCCTGATGAGAGCTTGCTTCCTGTCTGTGCTGAAAAAATGTTTGAAACCTAAAACCCATTGATGACAGTGACACCTGGTGGTTTGTAGCACAAATAGCAGCTGTTCAAGATGAGCCACAGCACTGACACAACCTCTGTCTATCCTTCAACTGCACCTCAAGGGCCTCAGCAGCAGATAGTGTTTGAATCTTCATCGGATGATCCAAGTTCCGACAGTCACATCATGATATGCGTCTAAAATATGTGCTATTTATGGGTGGCTTTGGCTCAGGGGGTAGAGTGGTTGTCCTCCAACCAGAAAACCAGCGGTTTCTTGCCGAAGTATCCTTGGAAGATGCTGAAACCTGAATTGCCGCTCAAAGAAACAGCTTCTAATAGATGCACTGTATGAATGTGTGTGAGTGGGTGAATGGCAAACTATAGTGTAAAGAGCTTTGAGTGATCATCAAGACCAGAAAAGTACTTTATAAATACAAACTATTTTACCATTTATTCACATGACACAATCTAACTACAACTGAAGATTTGAGACTTTGAACATTTTATCATTTCCTTTGTTTTCAAATGAATTTAATTCAATTTACTCCTAATCTACCAATCATGTTTCTAAAGAGTACACAAGCACCGTCAAGCATAGAGGTATTGTCATGAACCAAATCTAAATTAAATAAGGTTGTCAGTGTTTACTTTAACATGACTTAAGACGAGACAATGATGAGAAACACAAACTGTGATTTTATTAACATGGAATATCTTTTAAGACAACAAACCAAAATGTTGTTTTAAAAATAAATACCAAAGATCTCTCACATTTCTCTTCCTGTGCGCTCTAATGATCTTTCTGGTGATTTTTTAAAATTAAAAAAAAAAATTTTTATAAGACCACGCTGCAGTAGTGTTTGACTAGAACAAGCTAGTGTAACATTATCTATTGGCATCACTACAAGAGGACGATGTTTGTTTATAATGTCCATTCTCAGTGTCTGTTTTTCTTTGACTAAAATGTTCATAGTTTGATTCGATTTAAGATTTAGAAAGGGTGGGGTTGACATAACTATCGATAAATGAATCTAAAAATGGCTGAAGAATTGAACACTACTTGTGAGCTGTTCCTCATAATGGCACAGAAAAGGTTGTATAAGGTTTGTCCACTCATCACTGATTTACCATGATGGCTGTTATCAAGTTTAAACTCTTCCATACATTTTGAACAATACATCTCACTCAATGAATCTGTTCCATTGCAAAGGAGAGCAGTCTATATTAATGAAAAACACTTGTCGTGATCCCCTGCAGGTTCGTGGTGGGGTCCAACAGGGTGATCTTCATGCTGCGAGACGGCAGTCTGGCCTGGGAGGTCAAAGACTTCCTTGTGGCCCAGGAACGCTGCATGGATGTCACAGTGGAGGGACAGGTGTTCCCTGGAAAGCCTGCCAAGAAGGACAGTGCCAAATATAACCAGCAGAAAGAAGTCAACAGCAAGAAGAAGAGCAAGAAGAAGACGGAGAGCAAGAAGCCGGACTTAGAGGGGAACAGCGCCAGTCCTCTGAAAAATGAGCTGTGATGGAATAACACTGAGGGACTCTAGGAGTCATTGGTCCTTTGTCTTTCCTTCTGGCCTCAGATGTGTGTATTCTCAAGATCATGTTCTGTGAGGGGGCTGGAGGACCGCATGAAGATGCAGAGACAGAAATTGAGTGAACTAACTAATCCTGTTCAGTGTATTCACCTGGACTGCTGAGCTGGAATCACTGCTCAGTGATGTACTGAAACATATTGCAGTGCAAGTACTTTATTGAAATCATCATCAGAGTGGTCACAAGCTCAAATGAAAATAAAAAAACAAATGAAAACCAATGAACGCACCTGTCATGTTAGAGGTACTCAGTAAATGTTATTTGAACTTTTGTTATGTGCCAAGAGCCCTGTTGGGAACAGGAAGTGTCTGTCCCTCTCTTCCTGGCCTGTGGTACACACTGCTCACGTCCAGCTGCACTTCAAGATTTCATACAAAAGTAGCACCTGACTTTTCTGTTTGATTTTTCACTGAATATGAAAATAAACCTTTTTATATAATCATAAGAGCTGTGTCATTGCTGAAGTTTGAAGTGTCCTCTCTTATTACCCTGCGAGAACTGTGTAGTGCAGATGGAGAATTTACTGTAACAGCTGACATGTCACCTAAACATTGATGTCCTTAATCGTATATATATCCCTGAGAAGAGCACACAGATATGCCTGGATAATACAGACACATTTCAATATGATAATGGTCTATGTGGTCATTAGTATCCGCTGGCCTGTCTACATACTGACTTCAGTGTTTGGCCCGTGGGGCTTAGTTATGATCAAGAGAACCTTTTAGACATAAGTCTGTTTCCAACAACTGCTGTTTTCTTATTTCGCCATAGCAGTACCTGAGAGCTCACAACCACATCCCAAAGAAATGATTTCCCTAGTTTGCTGACTGGCCTCCATGGAACGTTGACGTCTTATCTCACCCAGAACCTTTGAGATGAACTGGAACACTGACTGGAAGCCAGGGGCCTGCTTTCACTAGACTTTCTTTTCTAATAGATATTTCCCTCTCATCCAATGAACAGGTTTCACTTATCTGATCAAACAGCATGTGATGAACCTAAACATCTGCAGCATGCAAGTGACAGTCATCTGTGAAAGACACTGTCAACCTCTTTGGACTGTATATAGACCGTGCTTGCAAATGGCTGTTGTGACACTGGACTGGGACCTGATCACCCAGCCTCAGTTAGACCCACCTGTGAACAAGGTTTTTCCTCACTCTTGCTGAGGGTCAAGGACAGAAGATGTCACACCTTGTTAGGCTCCATGAGACAAATTGGTGAATATGGACTACACAAATCAAATTTGATTGATTCATTGACCTCACCAACTCTCCTGTGCAGCAGCCAGGTCCAGACGTGAAGAGCCTGAGACCAGCAGACTGGAGGCTGCTGCAGCAGCACATTAATGCCCACAGTGTTGCAGTCACATGTTACACTATCACATTGTGCGACCACATACTTTTGGCCATGTACATGAGAGTGAATAACGTGATATGAGAAGACACGAACATGGAAACACTCTCTCTCTTTCTGTCTCCCCCTCCCTCCCTCTCTCTATAACAGCAATAACAATAACTCGTATTATAATGATTGTATTAACTGAGGCTGCTCATTAGTAACATCATTACATCTATAAATATATTATTTCCAATATAACCTTTCTGATGGAGCTTAATGTGATGGTTGCACATCTGTTCCTGGTCTCTCTCCTCTCTTCCCTCTTTTCCACCCACCTATCCTACCTCCCCCATTTTTCTCATGCCGACTGGTCGTGGCAGAGGGCTTCCTATGTCCTGCTCAAGGATTTTCCAGTCAATTAAAGTTTTTCTCTCCACAGTCGCAAAGTGCTTGCTTGCTGTGTGGAACTGTTGAGTTCTCTGTCATTTTTAAGGTTTCAACCTTACTCTGTAAACTGTCTTTAGATAATGAATTGTGTGATGTGGTCCTATACAAATACAAAAATAGATTTTGACTGAATTGAATTTCAGCTCTGTGACTGATCCTAGGTAGCGTCTCTAACTCTCTGAACCTGACATGTTTAACACACAGTGCTGTGATCTAAGGTTTGACCAGCAGAGGGCTGTTGTGCATTGTTCTGTGTATTTTTCCACTCAGAGTAAACCAAACCATTTTCCTATTAATAAACCAGATGCCACTTTGGCTCTAAGGCCTTTTGATTTAAGGGGAATGCCGATTAGTCCACAGGCAACATCATTAACCTCGTCAGACTTATGGTCTCAAGTTATGTGTGATTATCATGAGAGATATCGTCAACAACCCTCGGTGCACTAACACACAGTGAGGACAGTGTCAACGACAGTTTATCGACGGAGGGAGTCAGAGAAGATGATCCCGACAAGATATGAGGTCTCTGATAATGTTTGCATGGTAGCAGACACAGCAGAATCTATCCATCTAATTGGGTTCTTGTTTTGGTTGTTCTCTCTCTCTGCCTCAGGGTAGTGCTGTTCACCTATTATTTGTACTTTCTTCTCTGTCTTGAGTTGTAGGTGGTGCCTGCTGATAGGACAAGAGGCTCATGGCAGCCTACCTAAACTTGCCTTACCTCTTTATTGAGACTCCCAATGCGGCTGTGTCGTCCTGTCCCTTTGTGTTCTGCAGAATGAGTGATGAACAGCTGATATTGGACCAGATTGACCACTGTAACTATCTCCTAAATGCAAGTCCTTAGACACCTTCAATAAAATCCTTCCCCTGCTCACATTGGGCAGGCAGGATATATCCCTGTATTGCATTTCATTCGAGGGTTTAGGTTAGTCAACATGGATTGAGTTGGTTTGGATGTTTTGGCCGTGCTCACCCTGACTGATGAATAAATGAGTTCTGTCTGGACTGGAGTGTGCTGTGACTTCACTCGTCCTTGTGAGTAACCAAGCCGTTCTCAGATTTCAGAACGGGCACAACAAATGTTCCTCAGTAACTTTCTTCTCAGAGGTACTGATGAGATAAAAACTCAGCTCCCCTCTGACTTTAATTCTTTAATACTGAACTGGTTTTGGGTTTCATCGTGTGGCATCCAGCTCTCTCCCCATACTGTCAGCCAAGCAGAGCTCTTTTGTTCCCAATGCCCACCTCAAATATGATGGAATATTTAGAGACTTATAAAAATATAAAAAAAGAAACTATATCTTTTTACTGTTAGGTCAGGTCATATTTTACACTATGTCTCTGACTCTGAACATTCAGTATCTCCTACAATACTTTCACACTACATTTTTACAAGATTGTACAATAGAGCTTATAGGATTCGTCTTAAACTTTCTCTCTCCGTAGCCGCCGGCCCTTTAGGTCTTAATCTATATTAAGAATTATTCAAACTAATCTGCCAGGATAAAAGTCTGCGGCTGACTTCGGAGAACAACTGAACAAACAGTGAATAACCGAAAACCAGATTTTAAGATCCTAATGCTTTAAATATTGATAAACATATTCTCCTCTTCACAAACAAAATTGTTATCACTAACATATAATGAAAGATATGTGTATTGCTCAGACCTTATTATATGGAGAAAGTGATTCATTTTTTTGTAAGCATGTGCAAACAGCTCTTTGTGGGAGCGGTAGAGTTGCTGTATTCTGTGGTGGTTGTGGATCAGAAGGTAGAGCAGGTCATCCACTAACTAGAAGGGTCATAGTTCAATTTCCAGCTCCTTCAGTGTGCATGTCGTGCGCAAGATACTGAACCCAAAATTGCCCTTGTATGTGATGTATGAATGATGCATAAAAGCGCTGCACATACAAGTACTGCATATATGTGTCAATCGCTGAATGTCGATAGGAGAAGAGATGGGCTAAATAAACACAGTCCATTATCATTACCATGCATTTGGACATCAGAGCTTCTGACCAGCCACAACATCTTATTGAAGTATTTTTGAATGAGGGTGTCCAAACCTGGGGTGAAAGAAGGGACAATCTATAGGGGACGTTTAAATCACATCTGAGGTTGATGTCGAAATGTTCTTTTCTGGTAATATAGATGATTGTGGAGATGACACTGTGTTTTGAGGAGGATATGTGAGTCCAGCCTGTATTATCTAGAAGATACACTGTATGTTTGTGCTTTGTTTGTAACAGCGGGGACACAGTGACATTCAGACAAACTGTGCATCATCATTTATTTCTGTACAAAAGTCCCAAAGAAATTCAAAGAGTTTCATCACTTTACAAGCCTAAGCCACATATACAACACAACCACTTGATGTACAGTTAAAACAAGCCACTATACCATATGAGTCATATGCATGTATGCTATGAGTGTCTGGGATCAATCTTTTAAAAAGGAGCTATGTTTCTTACATATAGTGTACATAGAGGACAGTAATAACATTACAACTCAAAAGATGTCCCTTGTAAATTTGGATCAACTGTGTCTGTACAATAAATAAGTATAAAATATATCTCTTAGGTATCTGTGGATTTTTAAAAACACACGGAACATACAAAACACTAAATTACTGCAACAACCTCCGAAAAAAGACCAGCTATTTCGGCAATGGGAGGGGGATCTTTTTTCATGCCAGATCGGAACAAAGATTTCCATGTCACTTTGAAAGGGGAAATTGCACATTTAAAACTCCCTGATTTAACATTCATTAGATCATTTCATCTTTTTTGTTTATTGTCATATTGTTACGGGCCTCTTGCTGGTTTACACAGACAAATGGATCACAAACACTGAAAAAATAAACGTCACGATATCAAATGAGCGAGAGCTTGGAATGAAACAGAACAAGTCAACAACCACTGGTCTGGATGCAAAACAAGGAATGTTGGGATTTTCTCTTCTCTTTTCTCTCATTAAACAGATTCGACAAATAAAACCAAAGGGGTAAAACTACTCAACTTCTACATGGGTCACATGTCACAGACCTGCAGGGGAGGATGCTTCTCTGCAATGCACATTAAACATGTGTTTGATCAGATGGCTCCACTGCCATTTGCTCCCTCATATTCATTTAGCTTTGCATTTGCATCATAAACCGCCGAGCAACTATGGCTGACATTGTGGAGGTCCACTGAAGAATTGGTCGGTAGTTAGTCACACTATTTTACAACTAAGTATCAAACTAGTATCAACATCCAGGAGAGAAAAATGATCAAAGTAAAATGAATCATTGATTAATTCAGGTAACTGTGACACAGTAAACTGACCAACCCAGTCTCCTATGAAGCACAACACACAAGCCTTTGTAATAGCAATATATTGACTTCCTGTGTTCAAATGCAGGAAGTCATGAAATAAACTATCCAGTTTGTTTGTTTACACGCGTGTGACTGCTGTCAAATAACCAGACCGGACTGAACTGCTTTTCTTGTGTTGAAAAGAAACCTCTTTAGCAGAGGGCTAAAGGTGAATATCTTTGCCCTGACCACTGAAAGACAGTAAGACCCTTGGGTATCTAAGCCATGCAAAGAGCCTCCCACTCCTCCACTCAGACTGAAAAACATACAAACAATCTGTTTGCAGTCCCCTTTGTTTTAGCTTTGCATTTCACATCATTTTGCAGGCCAACCACACTACTCATAGACACAGCACATAAGTTGGTATGGTTGTAGTACTACTGAAGTCCCTTGCATTGTGTGGTTGTTTGCTTGACTTTCCAATAAGAAATGTTTGTAACGTTTGTAATTGTTGTTTGTATAATACATAACTCCACTTGATTCAGAGGCTCTGGCTCTTGAGCTCTGTGACCCCTTGTGCCTCTGTGCCTGATTTTATTCCTTCCATCCATGACCATGATCTTCCCCTTTAGTTAACAAAATAACTTTATACATAATCTTTGGTTTCCAAACATGTATATAGGAGAGCTTTCCAACTAAAACCACTGGAACCGAATATTTTGCAGATCAGTTGACTGTAACTTTGTGGGCGGTATGATGTTTTCTCCATCCTATCCATTATCTATATCCTATATCCTTTGAGGGTCGAGGGGGAGCTGGAGCCACTCCCAGCTGATATGTTTACTGTTAATACAAAATATTTGCATATAATTGTGAGAGCCTCTGCTTTCATTTGTAACAGAGTGCTACTGGTTGGAAAGCATACCCCAAACAGTTTTTACATCTCACTGGGGAACCACTCAGGAGGGCCTTTTTATATCCTCATGAAGTGGAGGGAGCTTGTGCATTACACTTGGCTGGAGTGGGGTGGCCAAGCATAATGCACGAAAAGAAAAAACCAAGATATGCAGCCGCTTCGCAATGAATCAATACTTGGGCCTCCCTTCTAGGTGGTTAGTACACATAACATGCAGGCCCAGGTGCAACCCTGCAAACTCCTCCTGCGGGTTCAAATGGGAGCCCTGCTTTTTTTTTACCAGGTGCTCTGTTTGTTACTATCTGGTTGACCTGGTACCAGGCATCTGATCCGGAGGTATTTCAGGTGGGGAAACAGTGAAAGGTGCAGATATCCCACCTGGCCTAGGAATGTTTCAGGCTAACCAGTTAGAGGATGTTGCTGAGCATTCAAAGTCATCCAAGTCATATCTAACAGCTAAGACCTTGACTCCTGTATTTCATCAAACATGGAATGGAAAACACCCACTGGTGGGAGAGGAACTGCTCTTAATGTTGGCTGGCACTGGGGCGGTGGAGACGTGAGGCACACTCTGCAAGCATCAGTGTCCTTCAAAGTGTTTGTCAAACTGTGTGTGAAACCTCCTCTTGCTCGGTTGCCTCAGTGATTGAATGAACAGATTTGTGGAGGTGAGAAATTTGGTCTGTCAATGTCTTTAATACCTCACACAACTAGTTTCATTATATGCGAATGTTCCCACAACGCAAAGTGTGTGAATAATTGCATTTGGTGTGAACGCACGATAGCAGTGACACCAAAAGGTATCGACTTACTGTGGACTTCAGAGTGCTAGGGTTAACCGATGTTAGAGGACCCTGGTTTCTATGCTAAAGCTCTACTAGATGATGCTTAAATAGAATCAATGAAGGGTTTTGGCTTTTTCAGAGAGAACAAGTCAATTGAATCATTTTTAAAACAGGCCAATATAAGTGCCAAGACCAAACAGTTATAGTTAGCCTCACAAATCCTATGGTTACTCTAGTTGGCAAGCTAACATTCTGTTAACATTACAATGTTAGTGACACAATGACAGTGTAATTTCAGAAACAGAACCAAGCCCCTCATATCATATAATGTCTGCAAAGCAACAACCATGTTTCCTTAAACACCATTGGTTGTTCTGAGCCATTATTGCTACAGAGCTGAAGACGTCCAATATGGCTACCGCGGGGTGTGTTGTCACTTTGAAGCACTCTACTGATGGTGGGTGTCTTATGCAGATTCAGTTCATCATGAGCAGTGCTGGCTCTATTGTCTTCCCTTTTTCAACACACCTGGTCATATCATTTTTCTGACCTCCAAACATAAAGAAAAAAACACCACTTGATCCAGGACCAAAAGCTTGGAGCAGCTGATTCCTCAGTGCTGGCAGTGTGCATGTGTGTGTGAATGTGTTGGTGCGTCTGTATGTTTTGGGGGATGTGTGTGTATCAGTATCTGGGGGCTACATAGTCTCTCTTGTCATGCCCCTCATAGTTTCATCTTGTGCACCACAGGGACAGGCAGGACCTGATGGATCTTGGCTCGGTCAGCATCCACCTCCAGATGGACCCAGTCAGGGTGGAAGGAGCCCTTGAACCCCACAAATGCCAACTTATCTGCAGGAAGGCAAAATGACATTAAAGTAAGAGAAACAAATCTGAGCGCCAGGTGGTTTTTCAGCCATTCCCTCCCTCACATTAACTTCTAAACAGCACAGGGGTATCATGTGGGGGGCTGCACTTCATAATGTTACAAAACATACATCGTACACGCTGGTTACTGCGAAAAGGTTGCTAACCCTAACCCCCTAACCCTAACCCTAAGCTTTGCCTGTGGTTATACAGTTTACATTTTCTGCATGGAAACAACTCAAGTTACTTCGACTCTCCTGGTGTACTGACTGAAAAGAGAACCCTTCGTGCTCCACTTGATCATATTTATCTCAGAAGCCCTTGCTACAGATGTAAGTGGCTACCTTTCAATTTGATGCTTTTGTCTGCTCCAAGTCGCTCCAGGACTTTAGTCCAGGATCCTCTGATAATCAGACGGCCCTTGGACGTCATGAGAACAATGGAGCTGGAGAAAGAGTGAGAGAGAGCACGTCTTCATGTTTAGCTGACAGTTCACTGTGTGATGAAAGTCATGGGAAATTACTTTTAGTGTAGCTGAACAGCAGAAGAGCAGTTTCTTACCCATCTCTCAGGCCACTGATGTAGTTGTCTATCTGTGCCGGGATGCCCTGCAGGATGGAGTTCCTGAAGCCTTTGCTCTCCACTACCTTCCCATCATGCCCGTCAATTACTGTCAGCTGCACCCCATCCTCTGCTTGGTACAATTTCTTACCATTCACCTGGGACAACAGAGTCAGCAAGTCACACAGAAGTAAAATCCCAAACTCAGCAGAACTGCCATTAAATCACACAGATCATATGCAACACAAAGTCCTTTATCAAATGGATGGATTGTGTAACAACAACATATCCACAGGTGACATAGTTTTCAGGTGAGAGCTAGATGAGATTGAGTCAAAGACAAAGAAAGTGAAGTCATCTGACAGATCCCTTTATTTTCAGTTTTTAAGTTTGTGAGGTGGAAGTGAAGGACTTACCTTTCTCTCTCACTTTTATCAGTTTGTCTCACTGTTTCTTGGTTTGTTTACTCAAGCAAGTTTATAATTTACCTAAAGCTGTTCAGTAAACCATAACCAGTGGGACTGTATGAAACAAGACATACCTCAGTAAAGGCAAAGTCCTCCTTGATGTGGAAGAAGCGAGTGTTGTAGGACTCCAGTTTGACCTCTAAGAAGTGCTCTGGTGAGTGCTGGAAAAGAAATAAGCAAAGAGCAACAATTAACATACAGAGAGAATTTTGAAAGTTAGTTCTCACTCTCTTCAATTACAGAGCTAAATAAATGCTACAAGATAATCACAGCTTAGAATAAGATTATTTTTGTAATGATTGCTGTGAGGAAATTGAGGTTCAGCCGCAGGAGATTCAGTAACCGCATTAAACCAAGGGAAATATGATGTATTCAAATAAAAATACAGCCAATAGACCATTAATTGCAGTGGTGCAAAGTGCATTTCTTAAAAACAGGGTATGTGCATAAAAATCCCAGAATCTGAGTTAAAGCACTTTGCTTTGCAAAATTAAAAAAATTAAACAGAAATAAAGAAAGAAAATTAATCAATCCAAGTATTCAATGTGACAATATTTGAAATATTTAGTTATTAACACAGACAGTATGTATCTAACGACAAAATAATGGAGAAACTGTACATTATGCCCACACAAGTGTATCCCCCACCTTGGAGGAAAAGGTTAATATGTAACACACACATCCTCTTTCTCTGTCTTATCTGATTGTGTTAGAACATATTTTAAGAATTTAAAGATCACCTTTAAAATGATTATTTGCTTTTATTCATATATTCTGCTGGATAAATGTAATAGTGGTGAATCATCTTAAAAAGCAGAAGGTTTTAAATTTGGTTCCTCCATGTAGCTACCGAAACAAATACATTGTCGACCTCTGTTTTAGAATATGATGCACACACACAAATACACCACCACTTTGTCTCACCAGCCTGGCGTTAGGTATCTTTCTGGGCATGGGTACATCCACAACGGGCAGCTCAGCGTGTCTGGGGTAGGCCTGGGCCATGCAGTCGCTGGGTGGACTGCCTTTAGGGATGATGGCTGTGATCTTCACCCTCTCACAACCCTTGACCGAGCAGAAGGCAAACTGGTCCCTGTCGTTATGGGCCTTCACCTTCAGGAACAGCAGGCTGCAATCCACATAGTAAAACTTTATGCATCGCGCATTTCCTTCGATAACTGGCAACCATAGAAAATAAACTGACATTGTGAAACTCAAAATTATTTTTGCTAACATACAAAGTGACTGAAAATAGTACATAGAATCATTTATTTGGATTCTGAGGGTTTGGGTCTTTCAGAGGACCAGACATATTATTTTGATTTCCATCACAGCCTACTGACCCACTTCCTGCCCCCTATCACTGCACTCATGCGCTGAAGCAGTAATCAAGTGTGCCCACTTTCACTTTAACCCTGAATTCATTTAGATTACTGGGATAAACTGTTGCTTCTTTAAATTCCTGTCTGCTCATTTGACTTTTGTTTCTTGACCTGTTGTAGAACAGATATCATCAAATCGATGGAGGAATACTAAATCCTCATGTAATACAGTCGTAATGACGTCTTTCACAAGTTGGTCTGTAGTTGTGTTCATGTGTCTGACCCTGTGTCTTCCTCCCAGTAGTAATATCCTCTGGTCAGGTGGGAGTGGTTGATCTTCTCTCTCTGCGTCGTCCTCAGAAACACGCCAGTCTTGCGGGTCTGTTTGGTCAGACGGTTGTGGATATCGGAGATGATGGTGAAGTTGGTGCTTTGTGGGTAGCAGAGGCCAACATTGATCCAGTCATTTCTGACACACACACAAAAAGAATGATTTAATTTGACAGTCCGGTCCGAACGTAGCAGCACACATGAATATTCCTACCTTCATCTCATCAGGTCAAATATCTCGTGACTTGTGAAAAGAGCTGGACAAATGAGTTGATCATTTGATCAACAGTAAACAACTGATGTTTGTAACTTATAGAGAGAACAATAGAAAACACTGTGGTTTTAGTGTCCGCAGAATTGACAGCTTTTCATAGAATGGGTTTCAATTGTTGGCTGAACAAAGCAAGACATTTCACCATTGATCTAGTGCAAACAAGGTTAAATCACTACAGTAGCTCATACTTTTTAATTGTTAAACCTAACCTTGAGTTAAACCAAACACGATAAATGGAGTTAAAATACTCAAATATCCTGTATACTACAATTAATAGACCCGAAAACCGGATAGTTGTAGCATGCATGCCTCTGTGACAATGGAAGGACTTTTAATTTATCAAGCTGAACAAATCAAGATTGAATGAGTCATTAAACTACAATCAGTTAGTATACCATTAAAACAGACAGCAGCTGTTTTCAAAAATAAACAAGTCACATTTCTGCAGAGAATCAATCTTACTTGCTGTATTCGTGCATGAACTGTAGATGGGGTCACTGGTGTATGCACCATCAATGGAAATATACTGTTTTGGCTCTACACTGTCCATGTCAGGGTGGACTCAGGCCGTAGGGAATTACTGACGTGCTTGAAATGACGATCTTCCTTTATGCAGTTTAAATAGCTAAGGGCCACACTGTTTGAAAGGAGGAGCACCAAGTGAGGCTCTCACCCTGTGGTCAATCCTTGTAAATAACAGGAGTGAGAGGAATGAGCTGACGGCTTCCATCAGATTACTTTCCTCATCTGAGTGGCCTCAGGAGCTGCCCTGCCATTTACAGAAATCCTTTAAGGAGGGATCAGTGAGGAAAACAAAATGCATCTTGTCAGCTAACTTCCCCTGCCATCATCCACAACACTTTCTTATGTTTATGTGTTCTCTCCCTGTATTTTCTCTTTATAACTGGGGAGCAATTCACCCACTTCATCAAAGATTAACCGATATAGTAAACTTCAAACAAAGGGCTGTTCAGAGTTTGAGACACGCTTTCTGTATTGGAATTCTGGAAACAAGAGTTGCGCTCATGTTACACAGAAACTGGTGGAGTGTGTGAGTAAGCAGGGTTTGAACTTCTCTCTATGCCAGAACAGGGAGGCTGTGCCTCAGGAGAGTGGGTTGTCCTCTAACCAAAATGTTGCTGGTTAAATCCCAGTGTCCACAATTCCGCATGCAGAAGTGTCCTTGGGCGAGACACTGAACGTCAGATTACCCCTGATGGCTGTGCCACAGTGTGTGATGATAGGGAAAGTGCTGTGCATAGATGCAGTGTATGAATATGTGTGTGAATGATGAATGGAAAAATGTTCTGTAGCATGATTTAAATGGAAATGAAGTATGGAAAAGTGCTATATAAATACAGAGCATTTCAAGAAATATGTATTATTCATACATGGTCAGACAAACTTGTCTCTTAATGTTATATCAATTCAGGCAATCTGACTTCATATTAAGATTTTCTGTCCTCGAATTTGGCAGATGTAAGACTGAGTGGAGGGCATAACAATTGTGCCATGGGTTGTGTTATAGGACTTGACATTATGTTACAGTAAATTATGATAAATGTTGCACTGAGCAGAAGTTAGCAATGATTGATTATAACACTTTCACCTTCCAGTGAGAGAAGTGGACGGTTGTGTGCAGGCCACCAGAGTTTAACCACTGACTGTGTCTGTGGTTTGTCTTGCAGACCACAACTGTTGATTTCACAATGCCTTGAGATAGCTCAGTGTGTGAGTGGGCTTTACACTACTTCATCAAATTTCACACAGCTCCCTCTGGCATCACAAAATACTCAACACAACTTTGTTCCACACAAGCAGTAGCACTGCCACAATACCTGCAACCGAAGTTTGATGAGTAGAATCGGTGGAGTTCCCCTTTTACATGTCTCAGCATCCTTCAAAGAAGTAGCTCATATGATATCATCTGAGCACATCTAAACACGAAAGTGCTTAGCTCTCTTCTAAATGATCCCTCTGAAAGGTGGGGTGAAAGGCCTGTCGCCATGGCCTCCTCCTGGCTACAATCCTAGAGCCTGTTTGATCTCTCTCCAAGAATTCGGTGCTTTGCATGTCTTTGTAGGCAGATGCGATTAATCATACAAACGGAATAAATGCCACATCTTTTTTTCCCTCAAAAACAGTTATGTTTTTGCTGTGCACACAAAAAGCAAGAGGAATGTGTTTCTTAAGAATGAAAAGTTCAGAGCTTGGTAAATAGTCAGTTAGATGATCGTAGAAGCGCTTCTGAAGCACTGCTGCTTCTTTAAGACTCCTAAAGAGACGAGGACTGGAGTGGTGTAAGAGAAACACTGTTTCATACAGCATGTGACATTTGTGAGGAACGCTACAGGAGTGAAACAGCAAAGAACCTGAACAAGAGACAGCAATCTGTCTAAATCTACCTAGAATCGTCCTCTATGCAAAGGTGCTTTATAAATAAAATTGCCATTTCCTCAACACCAGACCAAAATCCAGCGTCCACTGGAAAGAGGTCAAAGGTCAGCAGGAGATGGTAAATGGCTGGAGAAAGATGAGGGTGTTCACATCTGACAATGGCCCATGTTTGATCAGGGACAAAGTTTGCATTCAAATTTGTGTTCCATGACATTTGACACAGCTCTATTCATTTTGGGTGGCTGTGGCTGAGGGGTAGAGCGGTTAACCTCCAACCAGTTCAATCCCCAGTCTTCCCCATCTGCGTGCCGAAGTGTCCTTTGGCAAGATGCTGAACCCCAAATTGCCCCTCATAGAACAAAAAAAGTGTATGAATGTGTGTGTGAATGGCAAACTGTAGAAAAGCAATATATAAATACAAATTTACCAACCACTGAATGAGACACTGTTGTCTTCTACCCTCAACCTTCTTTTCCCTCTCTGGGTGTTTGCTTCAGTGCCTCTCCAATAACAGAGTGACAGATGAGGTGAGGGTAAAGTACAAGCTGTAAATCACATCATGGATGGTTGATGGAAATATATGAAGGCCAGGGGCTACTCTCTGTGTTCAAAGTACAAGACTTGTAAACAGGTCAATGCTGGTGTAGAACTAGCCGATTCAGAAAGGTGAACTGGTGTCTGGAGCAGCGTGAGCAGTACGTTAGCAGTGGTGCTGCAGCTTAAGTGTGTGTGTGAACACAGTTTTGGCAGCATGTTAAATAGAAGAAAGTAGACCTGAAGCTCAAAGATATGCTTTAAGCCACATTTATGAGCGTGCAGTTTAAAAGTAGTAAATGACCTGAGCAGACCTTGGACTGTATATAAAGATGGACAACATCACATCCCAGAAATGAAGCCAAAATATCTGGATTGCCTCCTGGTTGCTGGTTGTAGTTTCAATCATAAACCTCGCCCTCCACATGTTAGCATAAGGCACTGAACTAAAAAGTCAAATTACACACTTTCATACACTTAAGGTATTTTTATTACCTTGATGTTGGTTGAAGTGCTGGTCATGTTTCTGATAAGTCTAGTTTTAATTAGTTATTGATGATAAAACATGAAACTGCCTTGTGATTGGTTGAGGGTGTGTATCACATGATTAACCTTCACTCAAAAAGTATTTGCATTTGTGCAGATTGTTATCTTGTGGACAGCACACAAAAAAATGTGCAGCCCTGATCATAACATGTGCGGCTAAGATATTGATTGTGTGCCTATTACGTAATCAATATATTGTGGGCAATGATAATAATTATAATAAAAATACAACAATAATAAAAATGACCTACAAAATAATTACTATTTCACATCATCATTATCAAGATAATGCAAGTTTCCACATGTAATTATCTTAAATGTCAGGGCACTTTGTGTTTTTACCTGTAACTTACAGGCTGTGGTATCTGGACTGATGATAATAGCACTGATCCAAACCTCATTTTTATATTCTGTAATCTATTTAAATTAATTTTAATATGAATTAAATCACAATTTGTCTCATAGGGCTTAGAGACAAATATGTGGCCATAAACCTTTCGAGAAGAAACTGGGGTAAGGACAGAGAGCTGTTCTCATTCCAAATATTCTGCTCAAATTTAAATGACTATGGGCAAGTATGCTGTAGTCATTTAAATTTGAGCTACAACACACCAGGAAGGAAAAGTCAATTTCCCCTATCAGTTGAAGCATTACATTGCTGATGACATTACATTGCTGAACTGGTTTGTGGTACTTTTGACAGGAATATGAGAATGTGGTTATTTTAGAAACCTCAGTGAAAGCATGATATTTGATATATTTTAATTTCGCTCCGTCAAAGATATTTAAAGTTCAGATTCCATATGTGATTTCTAATAGTGGTTGCCTTGTGTTCATCCTCTGTGTGGGTGTGTGCTTTAAGTATAAATGTAATGAGCCATTAGACTTACTCATTAAGTCATGTTGAATAAAATCCTTAAATAAATTGAATGTTTCTCCTCTGGTCTAACAGTAGGCTACTTGGGTGAAGGTGGTTGTTTGTCATGAGTGTGTGTTGTGTGCTGTCCCAGGTCTCATGTGTTCACTGACTTGTTGAAGTTGATGAGCCAGATGGTGACCTCAGCAGGTGCCGCCTGGTCCCAGTGTATAGTGTAGCCTTTGGCCAGTGTAATCACAGGCTGGAACTGCTGGTAGTGTTTTCTCTTCCCCAGGGCGCCCTCCAGCATCAGGGGCCGATCAGGATACTCATCCCTCACCATGTGCATGTTCAGGTTGGCAGGGTTACGTGTCTGCACATAGATCTGAAGAAAACACAAGCATTGAGTCGGACGGCTTGCTGTGAGCTAAGAATCCCTGTCGTACCTAGTTCATCCATTTAGCCGTTTAGACTTAATTCCCAAGGGAACTGAAAAATACAAAACATTGTTAAACGCTGGGTAACAATTAGAATGAGTGTTTAAGTTTGAAATTAAAGATATTCAATGCTGAGTTCACAGCACTGAGCACTGCTAAGTGGCGTCATTAGCACTGCAGGATCGTTCTTGTTTATTAAATAAACACAACAGGCGAGCACTCGAGGAGAGGACTACTGGAGGAAGTGACTAGTGGCTGCATTGTAATGTGGAAACACCAGAGAAGCCAGCGCCTTTGTGTGTGTGTCCACAAAACAGCAGTGGACGGTGGAGATGGTTGCATGCTCAGATCTCTAGCAGTTGTAGCATGTACAAGATATAATACACCCTGTGAGGTGCTAAAGAGAATCCCTGTGACTATGTAGGCTGCGGGGCCAGTGCTAGGTTTGTTTGGCTTCAGTAAAAGTAAGACAATGCCAGAAATAGAAGTAAAACAACAGATAACATTGAGGTCACTTTTATACACTGACAGCAGCTCTTTATGAGTAAAATGTAATGACTGCTTGGCTTAGCTGAGTGCTTATACAACCACAATGTAATGTTTTATGTGAGACTGTCATTTTTAAAAGAGGAACACTAAAATCATAAGCAATAAAACAATATTGATATTAATATACAAACCAGTATTTGGATTGTGTTTCAGTCTTCAGTGTTAAACTAGGCAAAAGATGTCCTGTGACACTCTGGTAGAAAATTTCCCAAAATAAATTTCATGCGCTGATTATCAGAAATAAGATATTTAAAAATATAATGAATGAATCTCCATATTTGCTCAAGAGCAGTGTTAGCATTGGTAATTTTTCCAACAACCAGAAATCAATGATATAATTATACAAGTTTTAAAGAAGTTTTAAAGAAAGTTTATCCACAGACTCAACCATCCACAATAGCCCAAGCTCATTTATACACCACTTATCAACACTTGAAATGCTAAGTTATGCATGATTGATTTCTCATTTCACACAGAACTCATACTATTCTGGACTTATTTGTGTTTTCACAGAACTTTGATTGGGAGTTTAAAATGCATGTAATCAACTAATGTCAAACAGGGTGTAACAGAAAGTGATTTGTGTTTGAGGAGGCTGAGTTTGACACCTGATTACCCACCTGTGCATAATGGCCGCTGCAGATCGCAGCCTTCCAGTCAGGCACGTCGATGCAGTCAGGGTGACGGAGCAGCCAATTGTCCTCTTTAACCAGGAAGGCTCCGGGATACTCGCTGACCGAGCCATCAATATCATGGAACACTGTTGTCTTGTCCCCGTCCATCTGCATCTTATTAAACCAGGGACCAGGTTCCCCAAAAAACACCCGAGACGTGATCTACAGTGGAGGGAAATGGAAGCTTCCAGTGACTATTTTGCGCACATGTAGTTTTTCAAATATTCTATACTTCTCCATTTGTTTAAAATTGTTTTATTTTTTAAAGATAAAGTGAGCTTGATTTGGATTTCAGCTAGTACAGTTTACTGAACATGAGCTTCTCTGGTGGTAATAACAGTTCAGAATACTTAATTAAAAAAATAATTTGAATTCAATTTTGTTTTATTTAAAATGTTATTTTTTGATGAAAAGAAATTCAGTGGCTAATTTGCAGTAATTTGTTGTGCATGCTGAATTATTTTAAGCAGAAGCTCTTCTAAAGTTATTTACCAAAACAGAGCCTGTCTCACCAGAGGATGCAGTATCAACAAATCACCTCAAGGTCATTTGTTTCAGTCGATCTTGAGCTCTGAGAACATTTCTTTGCACATCACTGCTCAAAAATCCCTTTTACAGAGAATGGAGTCCAGTTGCCACATCCTATTCTAGCTGGCTTTTCCACTGTCAATTATTTTTTAAAATATTTTTAATATGAAACATAATAAATGGTGACTTACAGGTACGTGGTCAAAGGTGATGTCAGTGACATTATTGTTGGGGCAGCTCTGCCACGAATTGTTGAGCCTGAAGCCAAAGGCACTGGTGTGCCGTCCAGACAGAGCTGTGTATTTCCGAAATGTACAGTTCTGCACGTTGATGGGCCCGTCATAGATTTGCATTCCCCGGATAGGAAAATCACTGCAAGGAGAGACAGGTCCAACAAACACACACACACACACACACACACACACACACGCACACACCATCAACTGAAAGAAGCAACCAGTCAATATCACTGGGCCAATCAATCTTTTTAGATGAACAATGGATCAAATTATATACATTCATTTGATCCATTGGTCATCTAAAATGATTGACTAGTATAGTTTCAACTGTGACTATACCTCAGGGACCACAATCATTCCAGTAGGATAAAGCACTGTCAAGTTTGGACATACAATGTCAAAGTTTCAGACAGAAAAAAAGCACCATCGTGTGTGCTCGACTCTGCCATGGATGGTGATGACAATCTTTTTTCTATCTAGTGGCCTCTATCAACCCTGCACAGCGTGAGAGCACTTTATCAATGATGTGCCCGGCTTCATCTGGTTCCATCAAAGAATGTCAGTCTATAGATGAAGCATCCAAAGGGAAGCCCTTCATGTGGAGTTCTATTTCTCCCACACAATAAAAGAATCTCTAGTAATACTGCTGTTCCTTGGATTTGAAAAGTGGCTGTCAACGATGAACCGCAGCTGTGCTAAAATGGACACAGGTTTTCAGGCAACATCTTTCCATTTCCCATCCACATATGATATTTCATTAGTATTATAGCCGTTTATAATGTGCTTCAAACTCACAAAACTAGCATATTCTAGCTAAACATGTCTCTAAGTGACATTATTCCATCTGAGCATGACTACCACTCCTTACTCCAACTTTTAAGCTTACAATGGTTGTGTACTTGATATTGAAAATGTTCTGATTAGTGTGGTTTTGTTGATTTGCAGTGTGTGCTACAGTTAAAAGTGGGCTGGGTTTGGCTGAAAAAGGAAAAATGAAAGGCATCATGGTTACATTCACAGACATATTCCACTGACTGTACTGAAATTAATTTGGAGTCTATATTAGTTTTATACATGATTTTGTCATGGTCGGGATCATTGTCACCTGCTGGTGGCTATACACAACAATTTACTGGTGAACCGTCTTTGGTCTCAGCCAGCCTGGACTCTACATGGCTTTATTCTCTGATATACTGTATATGACAATAAGATTTTTCCACTGGGTCACCAATAAACCATACCAGGATCACAGTGTCCTTGACAACATAGTCACTATACAGTTTAAAACTAGAATAGCACTCAGTACATAACCAAAGCCCAACAATCTCCATCTCTCAAATTGTCAAAAAATAATTCCTGATCAACCCCCTCTATTAATCCTACTCGATAAGTTGACGGGCTCTTCAATAGCCCACCCTTCCACCAAATTTCAATAAAATCGTTTCAGTAGTTTTTGTGTAATTAAAAAACAGACTGCAATGAAAACATAACCTCCTTGGCAGAGGACTCCTCGACATCTTTTACATTACATTTTTTAGGGCAACTGGCTGAAAATACAATATCTGAAAAATGATCACTCCAAAAGATTCAATAGGTGACCGACATTATTTGAGCAGGGTTTGTAACTCCCTCATGTGGTTGCAGATTAGGCAGATGAGTGTTTGTGGGTAAAAACTTAAGCAAAGAGCTAAAAGAGGCAATGATCGCACTTACACGCCCCGTGGCAAGGTCCTGCCAGTTGGATCAGAGCCCCCAGGGCCCCAGACTTGGTTGTCAGGGAGGTGCATCCCACGGTTGTCACTTTCACCCACAAACAGTGAGTTCTTCACCTGCTGACGAGAGCCGTCATCATCTGGAAAAGTCCCTCCACTGCACACACAGAAGGGAGAGTTAGAGGCTGAAAGAAACCAGCAGCGGCACTCGTGATAGTAGATCTAAGAGAAGTATCATTATTGTAAACAAAGTTAAATTGCTTAATTGGTCTGATAGTGAGAAATCCCTTCATTATTATAGAGACAATATGATCAAGACATTTCCACTGTTCTTTACACGAAGGGCCACAGCAGACTGTATCTACTGAGGAGACACTGGTCATTTCACTCCTGAAGACGTTCTATGACTGTGGTCACAAAGCCATCTTCTTTGGTGCGGTCTGCTAGGATAGCAACATCTCATTTGTTGACAGGAAAAGACTGGAATGACTCATTAGAAGGCCTAGTTGGGAGAACCCTTGACCCAGAGGAGTTGGTGGGACAGGCAATGATAACTATCCTCTCTGATAGACAACCAGTCCCACACCCTGCAGGACCCCACCACAGCACCGGGCAGCTCCTTCAGTCAGAATCTGATCTACCCAAAGTGATTGAAGGCTTGGTATCGCATGTCATTCCTTCCTGCAGCTGTTACACTTACAACCAGCTCTGCACCCAGTTGACCACACACACCAATTCTGCAACTGCACTATAAACTCAGGTTTATAGGTCATTTGACTGTGCAATACTAATTTCTATCTGTGCAATGCAATGGCTACTAAATGGCTACAGGGGCACTGTACATATTCTGCTCACACTGTATATATTGTGTTTATACTCTGCATGTTATTTCTATTTTACTTTTATATTTCCTTGTGTTAATATGGCATCTTTACCCTTTTATTACTTTCAATGATGTATGACTTCTCCGTTGTAGGACTATTAAAGTATAATCTTGCTATATTCAAGTGAACAAAAACTGGGATTGTGTTTCCATGTGGAGTAAATATGTGTTTCACACAAATGTAATCTGAGATATTAACCACAACAAAGTCTGTTAGTCCGACAGAACACAAACACATACTGAGAACAGGAAAACAGTCTAAACGAGTTAACAGAGGCTGAGGTGCCACAACAGTTATTACTGTGCTGCTGAGTTCATGAGGAGCAAAAATAAAAACATATAAAGAGGAGGAAGTAATGAGTCCATGGACCACAGAGCCAGTACTGTGGACGTGAATGAATTTTAAATGAAATTTACTTTGTGAGTGTGGATGTTTAGGGTTATGGTCTTATTACCTAACTTTCCATGGAAAATCAATATATAAAGAAAGAGAGAGAGAGAGATGCGACGAGACAACAGATAACACAATAAATGAGCAAAAACAAATATAAGGAGACTGGTTTACCTTGCCAGAGTGAGGCCTATACCATTATCAGCAAATCTAAAAAGACAAAAGGAGAATATTAAAGCTGCAACAGTATTCGTCTGAAGCTCCTGAGAACACACAGACAGCCTGAGTCTGATGGAGATAAAAACGTTATTATTAGATAGGAATTCATTTCTTACTTTCTTCTGTGTCATCAAATGTAGATAAAAAAAAAAAGTGTACATTCAGCTGAAAGTTAACGAACATACACTCAGGGATCCCTTTATTAGGAACACAACACTAACACTGATACTTCCTCCCCTGTGCTCTGGATTCCACCTGATTTTTAGAACCTTTCCTCTGAGATTCTGCTCCATGATGACACGACCACACATCACATTCATGCTGCGGTCTCCTGTTCTACCACATCCCAAAGGTTCAACTGGGTTCACATCTGGTGACAGAGGAGGTCACTGAAGTTCACTGAACTCACTGTCATGTTCATGAAACCAGTTTGAGACTCTTACTTTGTGACCTGGAGCATTATCCTGCTGGAAGTGTCCATTAGACGATGAAAGACTGTGGCTATAAAGATAAACTGTGACACTTAAATCCTGATTGATTGGTATTAAAACCCAAAGTGAGTCAAGACAACATTTCCCACACCATTACTGTTGGTAGGGGAGTCTGGACCCAATGCAGGTTGTCTGTATTGAATCATGCTGCTGTAGAACCATCCATCTCAAGGTACAGCACGTTTATTCTGAGAGGCGTCTCTGCTCACCACTGTTATGGCCGCTCTGACCGCTCTCATCCACATAGAACTGCAGCTCACTGGATTGCCGTGGATCAGTAGATTTAAAAATACTCAAACCAGAAATCACGCTCTAAATTTTCCTCCATTCTGATGTTTGATTTAAACATTAAATACATTTCCTGACTTGTACCTCCAGGATTTTATACACTGCACTGCTGCCACATTATTGGTTGATTGAATCCATATCTGAATAAGAAGTTGCGCAGGTGTTCCTAATAAAGTGCTCGCTGAGTGTATGGTTCCTTGTTTTGGATCCATATGTTCTTGAGTACTCACTGGCAGTCATCCAGCCACACATCCCCTCCCCTCAGCCAGGCTCCGTGGTCCTGGTTCTTATAGGCCACAAAGTGGTGGATGAGAGCAGGGACTCTGGGTTTGAAGGGGTCAGCACCCTGGTGGGGGCTGTACCTAAACAAATCAACAACACGTGCAAGTGTTTGCATGAGGTGATATTTTCTGTCGTGCAATATTCAGGGAAAATCTTAACTTTAATGATATTCATGTCTTCTCTCGCTTCGAGTAAAAATACTTCCGATTTCAGTAAAGGTTATTTTGATAATTATTAATCCCATTGTTTCAGTTTAAAGTGACACTGGATGTGTTGGTGATGCAGAGGAGGAGCAGCAGGTGTATATGTATCTACAGAGGAATTAAACAACAGCCCCTGAGGATCCATTGAGTCACATTGTTTAAATTAAGAAAACAGTCCAGCACTGTAATGCTGACAATACATATCCACATAACATCCATTCTATTGCAGGAATGGCTTCCTGTGAATCCCTCATGTGACTCAGCGGAAATACTCAGGTCTAGTGAGACTTGTCTTTACAGTTTTCAGTCTTCGGTCTGTTTCTGGCTGTTTGTTTAACAGTGGGCCCGAGAGTGGCAGACGTTGTGGCTAAATGTAGGTGTGTCCAATCAGGTGACTCGACTATGTAGACAGGAAGTCCTGCTCTGTGCCCTCCACATATTGGTTACTCAGTCAAACAGATATTGATAACAATATTATCTATTGTCCATGTTTCAAGATTTCAACTAATTCGTTAGCACCTTTCTAATAATAATGATAATAACAAGAATGATTTAAACTCTGTGGGTCTAATGAGTTGATGCCACTGCTAGAGAAGCTGCTCTGCTCTCAGTCATGCAGACACAAAAATGATTTGACGTTGTGCTGATCTTCTGTCATTCCCAGGCCAGGTAATGCTCATAGTCCACAGTGTATTCAAACATCCTCATGTTAGACATGCAGGTTTATCTTCAGCTGTCTGCAAATACATCATATTCTGAGAGCTACCATGTCACATTGTGCCGGAATAATTCATTTCTTGTACGATTAATATTTCCTCCCTGGGTTCCCATAGAAATGCAAATGTGTGTTTAAATGTAAAATTGACCACAAACCCAATCTGAGTTGAATCTGTCAATATCTGATCAATAGACACATCATTTATCTATGTGTAATGGTATGAAGACAAAAGCACGAGGACACTTGTTTATTTTTCGCCTCTGCCAAGGAGGTTATGTTTTCACCGCACTCCATTTGTTTTTGTTTGTTTGGTTTTTCTCAGCAGGATTACAAGAGATTTCCTGGAAACGTAGCGCCCATTAAATCTTGGCACAAGAGCTGAGACAGGAATGTTTTCATCAAATTCTTTAACATTGTAAGATATTCTCAGTGATATCTCAGAGAATAATTCATTGCATTTACATATCATATTTATGAGTGTGTGCCATTTGGTGCAGCTCCAAATAGAAATTTGGATCCAGTGCATTTAGATGTGGTTTCAGAAGGGGACTGTTGGGTCTTGGTGGAGTGTTCACTCTAGTTTTTGGGATGTGTTCTTTGCTCTTGTCTTAAATCAATATCGAAACTGATCAGACTTAACTAGAGTGGTCTTTACTCCAGCCCTGACGAACATACAATTTGATTCCAGAAAAATAACAGCTGAGAATGTTTTGTGAAGAAGACAAGATCTGTGTGTCAGATCAGGATGACACACTGGTTCTTTCACACGCTTGTTACACAGGCTGGTACTTTTTTCACTTGAGGAGATTTCAATGGGAGTGATCTCACTTGTGTTTGAGTGATATTTAAAGTGACTCTACCTACTTTAGTTCTATATTTGCTGGTTACAAAACATCAACAGGAAACACGACAGTTACAGAGTGCAGCAGATCCATCATGTCTAATTACACTGGGTGTGATGTGACTTGAGTTTGTCACACGGGGTGTTGTTCATAGGCTGAGGAGACTGACCTGGCTCCAATCAGAGAGAGGAAGGGTCGCTTGTCCTTGTCATTAGCCTGGGTGGTCTTTACTCCATTATCGAGGATCATTCCAGCCTGGAACATAAAGAATAAGATCTATATGTTGAAAGCAGTATGGGCACTGGAAGATACTAGTGAACACACGACACTAAACACACACAATAGAGTTCAATGTAAGAAAGCAGGTTATTATTATTATCATCATCAGCATTATTAACTGTTGCTGCTATCATTAATGACATGTTTAAATCTATAAATATCATTCTAATTGTTTTCATTAACAACCAGTCTGACAGAGCCTAAATATGATGGTTAGCCATAGTCCTCCCCTCCTCTCCCTTCTCTTCTCTCCCCTCTTTTCCACCCATCTCTCCTCTCTTCCCCATTTTTTCTGCTCACCCCAACCAGTTGAGGCAGATGACCGCCCACATTGAGTCTGGTTCTAGAAGTTTCTTCCAGTTTTTTCTCTCCACAGTCTCCAAAGTGCTGCTCATTATGGGAACTGTTGGGTTTCTCTATAAAAACAATTTAAGGTCCTGACCTTCTGTGTAAAGTGCCTTCAGATAATGTATATTATGATTTGGCGCTATACAAATAAAATTGAATTGAATTGAATTGAATAGGTCGTCAAGCTCTTTATTGCGACCCATATATTTTATTACAAAGTCGATCTCTAGTGGCTGTAGTAATTATAACAGGAGCAATGGAAAAAGACAGGGGACAAAGTTCACATTAGGGAGGAGGAGGTTATGGTGCATGGATGGGCTGATATACAACAGGTGTTTTATAGGAGACCACTGTTTGTTTCGCATGTGGAACCGATAATCAATGTATTTTTCTTTTATCCACAACCTTAGCCTCATATCTTTTAAGTAACCATGACAACAAACATCATCTATCCTTGAATAATTTTTTTTTTTTTAACCCACAGTATGATCTCTTCTCAAACCTAACCAAGCAGTTCTCTGTCTGCACACAACCACATATTTATATGCATCTTTATCATTGTCACCATGGTGATGTTTGCTAATTTTGAGAGTAGAGGCAAGGGTCGTATGGATTGGAGGAGTGCTGGTTGCGGGGCTTTGTTCATGTTACCCTATGGGTTTCAACGAAACCATCTCTCTATTTGAAATGAATATAAAAAACAATATGAAAACACTCTCCAAGCTTTCAACTGAAGTCACACTCTGGTTATTGCAAATATGATATAAAAACTGACCTTTAAGTTGTGCTGAAACCATTTTTTTGTGTTATTTCCTCCTCTCATGCAGAAAGAGAGTGTGACTGTCATTGTGAAACGTGTTTATTTGCTTCAATAAATCAGGCTCAGTAGCTGAGGACTTAGACACAGCTTTTATGGTCCATTCCAGACACATGTTAAAACAGTTCAGCATCAGGTCTGAATTAGCAGCAGTGGGTGAGATCAGATGCATCTGCTCTTATTTATATTATTAGTCTTCATGAATTTCCTGCAATTTCATGGCCCTGACAGTGTCTGTGTTAGGTTCAGTAAAGCTGCCATTTAACCTTGACCTACTGACCTTTTGCCAAAAAATAAAATGGATAATTTTTCTCATCTCACCATTTTTTTGTCTCATAATGTCTTAAGGAGCTGAAACTTAAAATGACCAAGCTTGTGTGTGTGCAAATTCCTTCAAACTTAATTGACACCCCTAATACCTAACTGATTTAAAATCAAGGATAAATATACCAAATCAGTTTTTGTTTCAGACATCACTTCAAATTCCAAAACCAGGCTGGAAACATTCAATACAACTTCCATTAAAGTAAAATGAAAACATAATGAGAAAAGTCTTCTTCAGCCAGTGTGCTGCCTCTGAACATAGACCCCATCACTGAGCTGTTTCTCTGAATGCCCAACCTACAGCCCCGACGTGACCTTTTCTCTCACAAACATCCTGGGGTGGGAGGTTGACATGAGTTATGCCCCTATTAGGATGATCCAAATTCTAAGCGACAAAGGGAAGCAAAGAGAGAGGCAGTAGAGAAAAGAGATCACAGTTGGGGGCAGAGAGAGGAGGGAGATAACAATAACACTTCCTCTCCACCAGCGCCTCATAAATCTCTTCTCGAGCCGCGCTGTGCTTGTTGCCGCAGGCGCCTCTAAACTCTCTCCTGCGCTCTCCATCTCATCCCTCTGCTTTGGCTCGCTCTCCTCTCACTCTCTCTACTGTCCTCAATTTTTGTTATGCCCACTGTTCACCTATTGCTCTTCCTCTCTTTGTTACACAGCAAGTCACATGTGATACTTTGAAATCTTTGCTCATTTCCTACATGGTGATTAATCACAGATTTATTCAAAACAAATATTGGAAATAATGAGTGAATCATGACTCACTATGCTGTTAAAGCTGCTGGTTTGTCATAGAAAAACTGTGCAAGTAAACCAGTAACAAACAGTATCAGGTCACTGTGATATAATGTGTGATATTGTGACCTTGTACGATACAGAAGATTGCACACAGCTACCGGTGTTATGGCAAGTTATGAAACACTGGCTGACAATGCTGTCTGCAGCCAGGCTAGTGAGACACAACTGAGCGGTGACCAAGATGCCAGCTTCATGTCTGTATTAAAAGAAAGGAGCAAACAATTCTGCACGCTCATTCACGGTCCAACCATATACTCTGCGTGTTTACCTCATATATAACCTATATAACCTTATATAAATCTCAGGAACAGAGTGGGACATCAGAAAGACCCACAAGTGTGTTGCATTCAAAGACTCAGGGGGGGTGTTGGCAACACAAACAAAAACTGGCCTCCAAATGCAACTGTAATTTAACGTGCCCGTCACATAATGCGCATGATAGTTAAGCATCATGTACATTTCTAAAAAAAATCAGCAATATATGATAATATTTTATTGATTGATGTGGATTTGTTTTTCTATATAATATCCATGTATCATTCTGTCAGTCACCGATTGTGTATGCATCTATCGACTTGGCTGTGTGATTGCTGATGCATGTGGGATGACTGCAAATGATCCAAAATAAAATGGTACACTCAAAGAAAAAATTGAAATTATCAAAAGATGTTTCAATAAGAGCACAATGAATTAATTCAAGGGAATAAGTAAGCACATTTAAATGGGACTTTCTACACCTTCTAAAATATGCCGAATTGTATTTTCCTTCATAAAGAGAATAAGAAATAAAGGCCTGCTTCAAATGGAAGGCTGCCTCAAATAAAGGCCTCTTATCTTTGCAGTTGAGGTAAATATACTCACACGTCCCTGGTCACAGTGCCTTTTTTTTTTTACCTGCAGCCACGTTCATGCTCAGACTCACCCTGTGGTTGGAATGTGCTCTGTTGTTGATGAACTGGCCCATAGGAGTGTGTTCTGTGTGTCCAGGGGAGTACAGGCCCTCTGAGGGGCCAGTGGGCACATGGTGGAAGATGAACCAGAAGCCTGTCTCCTGAGGGTTCACACACACACACACACACACACACACACACACACA